ATGAGTAAAATCCTATTTAAATTTGAAATTTGTTACAGATAAATTTAAAACCTTATACTTACAAGTATTGGGCAGAGGCAAGATGGCTAAATAGTTTATGTAAAAAAAAAAAAAAAAACTTGAGTTTCGGTGAACCACAAACTCAGTAGGAGTGACCACCAGAAAAGCTGAGGAGCTTTATTTGGGTATGGAAACGAGGCCCTTTCCCTGATGCACATTAGCTCTTCAGTACCTTTATTGACAGTCTTCATGAATTGCTTTGGGCAAAAAAGTCAACACTTAGTATTCAACTTTCTCAAGATTTGCCAGGCTGGTCAATTTAACAGCCGTTTATTAAGCTCCTACCTTGGGCAACTGTGCTTTGGCCACTGATGATACAAAATAAACATGAAACAGCCTCTACCCTTAAGGAACATATTTTCTGGGGGAGGCAGCAGAATACAATGTATGCACAAACAAGAATAATAATGAGGAAAATTGAGGAGAGAAAGAACACTGATAACTGGGGAGCATCCAGGAAGAGGATGAACTGAGCCTTGAAAGAATACAGGAATAGGGGGGAGACAAGTGAGCATATTCAAGGCATGGGGATAGCTTGTGCCAATCAATGTATGAAGGTGCAGATGGAGTGTCAAGTTTGGGAAACAGCTAAGTTCATTTTGGCAGGAATATAATTTGTGAAATAAATCTGAAAGGGTAGGTAGGAGTCAGATTTTGGAGAGTTTTAAATGCCAGGCTAAGGACGTTGGTCTTGTAAGCAGTAGGGAGCAGCTGAAGGTTTTTGAGAAGAGGAGTAACATGGTCAGGGCTTACCCTTAGGAAGATTATTTTGGCAGCTGTTTAGAGGATAGATTGGAGAGGAGACAGAATAGAAGCAGTAAACCAATTAGGATCCTATTATAATAGTTTAGGAGAGAGAAGATAAGAGCCTGGACTAGGGTGGTGACCATGGGAGGAGGAGAGAAATGTGGTGGGGTTAGACTTGTCAGCTGATTGGATCAGGAGGAAAAGTGAAAAATCAAAGATTGTTCCAGAGCTATAAAACTGGATGACTTTGGATGGCGATGCTCTTAACAAAAATAGGAGAAATAGGGACATTTAGAGGAAGGACAGGTAATGAATTCTATTTTAGACACTGAGTTTGAGTTGCCTGTGAGACCTTGAAGAGGATAACAGACACAGTACAATCACTGCTTTTAAAGCCTTTCCAGATTGGTGGGACTTGCTAGCATAGTCTTTGGGAACCCAGGGTCACCTCTATGATAGGAGGAGGCAGGTGTTTCTTCAGACGTTGTTAACAGAAGTATCACCTCCAAAGCAAAGGAGACAGTAGTACTTCTGGAGAACTTTGCCCCAGTTGGGCCACATTGAGAATGTGGTATTTGGATCGTGGGGCTACATATCAAGAAAGACATTTGTAAGTTGGAATATGTCCGGGGAAGGGACACTCAGTTAAAAGGATTCCACACTATGTTATAGGAGGAGAAGTTGAAGGAACAGTGAAGAGAAGACTTAGGGAGGACTAAATGACCATCTTCAAGTATTTGATAAATTATCATGTAGAAGAGGAGTTAAGTTTGTGCTGTTTGGTGGTGAGCCCTATTGAACAGCCTAGGGCCAATGGATAAAATTACAAGAAAATGCGTTTTTGTTTAGCTTGAGGGAAAAAAATTCCAAGAATCAGAGCTTTCCAAAAAGTGCAAATGGCTGCCTAATGAATTCACCTAGACTGGAGTGGAATCTAGATGACCACTTGTCAGGGAGGCTGTAAAAGGAATTCCTGCTTTAGGTAGAGCTTGTACCAAAATGATCTCTGAGGTGTCTTCCAACCCTGAGATTGTTTCTGTCTCTGTTTTCTATGTAGATTAGGGTATGTAAGCTAGATGTAGTGTACTGCTGGTATATCAGTGGAAAGACAAATTTTGGTGGTATAGTTAATATATAAGGGATGAGGAATAAAAATGGAACCTGTTGCCAGTGAAAGCCAGAAGATTTTTCTTGGCTTATTTCCCTTTCTTCTTCTAATCACCACTTCCAGTCTCATTTCTCATTATTTTCTCTTTATTCTCCCACCAAGAGATTCCCTGGGCCTTAGGACTTCCTTTGCTTTTGGGAGCTTGGTGATGACTTAGACTTCTTCCCATTCTGTGCTCGGCTTTGGAATGGGGGTTGCTGCTTCTTTGTGGGTCGCACTTGGGATAGAGTCCCACACCTTATTTACCTTGTTTACCCACATGATGGTTTCATCATGTGCATGGATTTTAGTTGCTACTAAAATTTAACCTTTTCTTACTGATGCCAAATTCTTTAGACTCTGTTTTATCCTTTCTGTTGTGTCTTGTAGTTCATAAAGAAAATGATTTAATAGTACCCTTAGCTTGTTCAGCTTAAGAACTTTCTCCTTTTCAATTCATTTCTTTATTTACATGTTGGTAATGTTTGTGTATGATGATCTTTTAAGGCTACTGCATCTGGATAGCAAAAGAATTGGTAATTTGGATGCTGTGCATTATTCCTCATTGAAATTCATGTTTTATTTACCTGTGAACTGGGAATACTTGTCCAGGCTTCCAGGGTAGCTGACTGCCTTCACCCTTGAGCACTTTCTGTTTTTTAAAAAAAACATTTGTGGCTTTGGTTGCCTTTCTTTTGTTTACTGTGCTTCTGCATCATTCACTTTGGCGTGCTGTGGAGCCTAATGGTTTTATCGACTTGGGTGGTTTTGGTGTGTGACAATCAGTTTCTTTCACAATAGAGATGCTGCTGTGCCACCTTCTTCATATAGGAGGAGACGTAGATCTTAGGAAGCCTTCCTTCTGTCATTCTACAGTGTATTTTGTAGTGCTTCCCAGTTGGGTGGCATTCTTGATGTGTAGTGCTCTATTAGAGTCAATCAATAAACATTTACCAAGTACCTCTTATGTGCTTGGCCCTGTGCTAAGGGCTGGATTACAAAGAAAGGTTAAAGCCAGTTCTTGCTCTCAAGGAGCTCACACTCTTAATGGGCAAGACAACATGTCAATAATGTACACACGAGCTATCTACAGGATAAATTGAAAATAAATCAGTAGAGGAAGGCAGTACCTTTGTGCATGAAACCTTTGTGTGGGAGGCACCAGGCCCTAGGGACCTCTCACCTATCTTGCTCATTCACCCCTCTCTTGTGGGGGCTCTAGGAGCTAACATCTGAGCCAAAGAATGGGCCACTTTCCCCAGAGACTTGCCCTATATTCAGCCCAACAAAAGAGGTGAGAATTCCCTTTTCTATGTCATCTTTCCAGTCTCATGCCAAAGATTCTCCTCCAGTCTCTGTTTACAGTTAGTGTTTACCCTCGTCTCTCCTTCAGTCCCACCAAGTGTCCTGGGTCCCCAACTCCCACCACTGTTGCTATCCCCCAAAGCCCTTCCAGGCATGTGTGGGTGACTCTCTTGTGCTTGCAGCAATTCAGCTTACCTTTTGCATCTTACTGTTATAGGAAAATTGCCCTGAAGACTAGGCTGGCTAGGCTAACATTTCTATGCCCTGTGGCCATTGTGCCTTCAGCTTTTGAAACCTGTTGTCTTACATCTGGGTCACTTAGCACCCGGCCCCCCACCCACACACATAACTCTGGTGGAATGACTTCGTTTTTGGACTACCTGTACTGTCTGCCTGTACAGTCTGTGTTCCCTTCTTATCTCCTCCACCTTATCTTGAGTTTTCACTCTTCTCCTTCTGCCTTCTCCCTTCCCTTCCCTTTAGTCCAGAGGCTCAAGAGGGCAAATCCTGCCTTCTCTGTTTGTCTTCCACCTTTCATCTTCCTCCCAGATAGCTGGACTGGATCATAGAAATTATTCCAGATTGCTTCTTGAAAGATCTCCAAAAGGAAGAGGGAGGAAGTGGCTGGCTCCATTACAGTTATTTAGTATGTAGGAAGAGGGATCTCCGTTAGGGTAGAGATTGTGGTAGGGTCTGTGCCACATGGATGGATGAAAAACCATTTTCAGAAAAAGAAATTCAACAAAAACCTGTCACTGTTTAATGTGGACTTCTATAGAATAAGATCTTTTTATGCTATGCTGTGATTTAACATTTACAGGTTGGTATACTGAGCATTGTAACTGTAATCTAAGGAAAACAATCTTTAAAAGACTCATTGATAGCTTTTTAAGCTTTGCATACAAGCATGAGTTGTATATCCCACCATTTTTTAGTCTGTGCTAGTAATAAGATTTAGTTCCCGTAAAGTCATTGGCATGCATACTATGCATGTTAGCTTAGCTTTTTCCTTTGCCTCAGGGCACATGCCTTCCCTTGTCTAAATCTCTCATTAATCCAATTTCTACTCTGGAAAATGGCTTTCTGATAACTTTAGTTTTTGGGAGACCTGACTCCAAGACTCTTTTGTACCTAAGCATCAGCTGGAACAGAAGGATGGTCAATTAACATTAGCCTTTGTAGAACATTAGACTGTAGGATCATTAATCCCTAAATATTTTAAGATATATTTTTTTTAAATCTCAGATTAAGTTGGAGAAAGGCCAGTCTGAGTTAGTAAAAATTTGAATTACTGAATATTTTTAAAGGAGTACAGACAAATTGTTTTCAAATAACTAACCACTAACATTGTTATTAAGGAGAGAGTCTTGGAGTCCTTCTTTAAATAACAGAGGAGAGTCCTGTGTAATAATCACATTGTTAGCATTCAAATAGATGGTGCCAAAGTACTTTAAAAATCTGTGTTCCTGACCAAGTTAAGCATTTCTCCTAAATTCTCATTTACACTATTATTTGGTTTAGCGGATGCCTTTTTCATGATACTTGCTGCAGAAATGGAATTTGGCCCAGCCCAGGTTGTTACCATGAATTATCATAAATTAGAGAAGTAAAAATTAATAGCCTTCCTTGGGCTCATTTGTGGAAATCAGATTATTGATTACTTTTTAAATAGCTGCATTTAAGATAAAGTGTAAGTGTGCAATAACATTAACACTCTTCATGGTTTTTTCTTCATTAGCAGGAGTTCAGCAATGAGTCACGCCTGCTTCTGCTATGCAGTGATATGTTCCATCCCTGTGTCTGCGTACATCATCCTGGTGACGTCCCTACGTTACCATTTGTTTATATGGAGTGTGTTTTCTCCAAAACTTCTCTATGAAGGAATGCATCTATTACTCACAGCTACCATTTGTGTGTTTTTCACAGCCATGGACCAAACCAATCTCATAAAACCTTAGTCTATTAAGTATGCAGAAAAGAACTGTGCTTTTTAAAAAGCCTATTAATTGCTGACTGGATTTGAGTAATGGAAGATAAGCTTAACTACTAAGAAGATCATTCCAGAAAAAGATAAAAAGTTATTTATGGCTGATGAGTTCTACCAGTTGTTGAAAAAAAAATTCAACTTTTTTGACTTCTGTATTTGAATATAGATTTACTCTAAGTGACTTTTTGTGGTTGAGATTGGGTAGGGGACAGGTGAGGGGAGGGGGAAGAGAAAGACTCTTTGACCATTTGAAAAAGTACTAATTTTGTTCCAGAATATTAAATTTGATTACAAACCATGACCCTTTTTCCTTAACTCAAATAAGTCTAAAAACTTCTGGTTTTGTTAATTTACTCCATATGTGTTATAAATCTGACTCAGAGTTTTGTTTGTTAGTGAATGACAGTCTTAAAAAGTTTTCAGCTTTACCCAGCTGCTTGATGTGCTTAATTCTGAGGGCTTAAGAAGTGGAGGGAGAAGATGGATCCTTACTTAGACTGTGGTGCATGTGAAGCAGATGTGTCTGTCTAACATGTTTTTATCCATCTCTGCCATGATTATTCATGAGATGGCAGGGAGAAAGAAAGAGGGACATGAGTATAACTATATGACCATCCATGAGCAATAGCCAGCAGCTGACTTACTGAATTGTAGTCAAAAGATATCCTAGGCTGAAGGAGATACAAGAGGAGGAAACTGAAAGAGAGGAAGATCATCTGATTCAGTCAAGTGACAGAAGGTACAGAAGGCTCGAAAAGAATCATTAATGAGTATGCTGATGCCCCACGTTTTGCCCTGGGCTGGTCGAGGGTCAGGGAGGAGAGAGGATGCTCCCTTCTACTCCCCCTGTTCTCTAGGGCAACGTCCCTGGACTACGTCCATGCACCTAAGAATTGGGGAGCACCAGGTGTCCTGCAAACACTTGGGAACTTTGCTAGAGAGAAACAAGGACAGGAACAGTGAGATGTGGCAGTTCCTGTGAAAAAGACCTGGAGGTTTTTGTGATTCTAAGGTCGCTGTGAGTCATCAATGTGACATGGCAGCTAAAACCCCTAATGTGATCTTAGTGTCTTCATCAATAAAAACGTCCTGTCCAGAAATTCACAGATCATAGCCCCTCTTTCTTCTGGCTTAGGTGGCCTAGAGGATGAAGAAGACATGAATTCAGTTCCACCTCAGACGCTTACTAGCTGTGTATTCCTGAGCAAGTCACTAGCTTCTCTCTTCTTCGCCTTCCTCATCTGCAAAATGGGGATATTCATAGCCCCTATCTCCCTGAGTGGTTGTGAGGATCAAAGTGGATGATATTTATAAAGTGCTTTGTACACCTTAAAGTGTTGTATAAATGCTAGCAACTGTTATTTTTAACATTGTGATTAACAGGAAGAACGTTAAACTAGAGCATCTGTGGGATAAGATGACCAAGATGGTCAGAGGCTTCATAGCTTGTTCTGTAAATATCGATTGAAGGGATTGGAGAGATTTACCCTAGACAGGAGGAGGCCCAGGAGGAAAGTGCCAGATACATTCCTATATATTTAAAGGGATGCCTTACAGAAGAAGGATTAGGGAAGGGAGAGGCATCTAGTTCAAGCCCCTCTCCTTCCCTACTTCTACACATGGGGAAACTGAGACCCAGGGAAAGCTAATAATTTGCCCAAGGTCACAGGTAGTAAGCATAAGAGGGAGGATTTAACCAGGTCCTGTGGTCGTGGAAACAGTGCTTTCCCCACCATTCCACACTGTCTTCCTTGGCTACATAAGACTAAACTGATTCAGTTTTGTTAACAAAGGGTCTATCATTGGGTGAAAGTTGCTGACTGGTATAGGGAGGAGGGAACCACAGTTTCAGAGCTAGAACGTTGAGGAAGATTACTCAGTCCTCATATATTATAGAGGAAACTGAGGACCAAAGATATTAAGTATGATTTGCTTATGGCCACAGTTAAGTGGCTGAGCTGGGACAGATAAAAGATTTATGTGCTGGGAAAGTAAGTTCCCCATCATTGAAGGTCTTATAGTGGAGGACGGAGGAAGGCTTTTCCAGGATGTTGTGGAGGGTATGGGATGGTAACTAAATGACTTTTTAGCTCTTTTCCAACTCTTTCATATTCTAGGATGGATCCCCAGACTGGGCTTGGAGTGACAAAAATATTCCTTTATGGAAGATGTTCAACAAGGAACTGACTTTATATTAAAAAATAAAAAAAACCACAGTTTTGCAAAACTTGTGAAGGTTGATGAAAGCCAGCTGAACATTCCCAGAGAGCTCTGGGAAGCAGCTACCTGACTTTGCCCAGAACAGCCAAAGTGCTTTCCCTCCTTTGGGTTTTAAGTGAAAACATTTTCAGAGAATGGAAAATCAGCACAGAGACTAGATAATAGGTGGAGTTGTGTGAAGTCAAACCTTGACTAGGTTCTCTGACCCTGTGGTCACCTACCCCTTTCAGTAGGATTACTCTCCTTTAGAAGTGAGGGGAAAAGGGCAAGGGCACTGAATCTGGGAGTCGAGACCAAAGCGTTTAATCCTACCAGTCGAATGGGAACTCCATGAGGGCAGGGCCTGGGTTTTTTTCTTTTAATACCTTCATATATTATATATTATGTATTATATATAACTCTAATATCTTAAAATTGCATTAAGCCTTTTGGGGTACCCTGTATCTATTGCCTGGCACAGAAGTAGTAGGTGTTTAATGAAATTCATTATATTGAATTGGTAAATACAGGTGTGTAAGTAACTGACCTTATAACAACCTAAATTTACCTTTAGTCTTGAGATTTCATATTGTGAGTGTTACTGGAAAAATTGGCATCCAGTCATAGCCAGCCCTTCTCCAGCAGGGAGAGATGGGCTCTGACACAAGGGATTCAGATTATTAGAAAGAAATCGAGCTGGAGAGGATTCCATTTGTTACTTTCAATTCCTGAAAATGAAAAACTTATTTCATATGACTGTTTTAGTGTAAGAGTGTCTCTGTGTGTGTGACATGTACCTGGGATCATTGGCTAATAAGTTGAAAGAGCAAAATCACAGCCCAGAAAAATATTGACAGGCCAGAATGATGGGGTCAGTATTTCCAGTAAACATGACTGTTTAGAGACAGTCCTAGTCATGCCCTTAGGCAAATGTAACAGTACCAGGAGTTATCAACCCAACCAAGAGTTAGTGTGCTAGTGTGGCAGGGGCAGAGGCTGAGTAGCCTATGGCCAGCTACATCAAGTTACTGTCTGTTGAACTAGTAAGAGTTTGCTTTGATGCTGGTGATCTGGAAAAGACCAGCCTCATATTCTAGGAAAGTCAGAACAAGTTTGCACCATCATTCTGATGTAAGGCAAACCTGCACACAATAATTTGGGGTTTCTGTTCTTGCCCATTGTGTATTTTTGCCTCTTCCTGGTTCCCTTGCCCTTCCCCCTGCTTTCACTAAGATTGCAGAGGCCAGTCCTGTCTGAATAATATTTCCAGGAGGGTTGGAGATCTCTAGGGAGATTCTGCTGGCCTTCTGGGTAGTAGGAAAGAACCTGAGAAATGGTCTGGGCTACTTTGATAATAGCAACTCAGATTTTATAGTGCTTTGAAGCACTTTCCTCACAGTAGTATCACCATGGGAATTCACCTTTCAAGACATCTGTCTCCAGATTCCCTCACTGAATGCATTTCAAAGGCTGAGGCTTTCCCTTTCCTCATATTTAGGAAATGGGGATAGGGCGTGGGGGGTGGAAGATAGATGGTTCACATTTAATAAGATGACAAATGCAAAGGTCTCTTAAGTTCAAGGAATCAACTGTACAAGGGCAAAGCAGCCTTAGTTCATTTGAAGAAATTCTGGGGGTTATCTTGGACAACCTGCTCAGTATAAATCAGCGTGTGATGTAGCAGTCCTCAAAGTTAATGCAATCTTAGGCTGCATTAATAGAGGCAGAGTTTTCCGGGACCAAGGGTGGGGTAATCTTGTTCCATACCCTGGCCAGACAATACCTGGAGTATTGTATTCAGTCTTGGATGCTGCATTTTAGAAACAATCCCTGACACGTATAGAGAGGGAAGACCCTACAGTGTGTTTGAAATGTAACATACTGAGGGGACTGCAGATATTTCACACAGAGAATAAAAGACTTAAGGTATGTATAGTCTCCATCAAAAAATACGAAGGGCAATCATGGAAAAGGGATTAGATTTATTCTGCCTGGCCTAGATGGTAATAGGAGCAAAGGGCAAACTTGGGGAAAATCAAGGAACTTAGAATTCTATGAGGGAAGACAGTCCAAGAAAAAATACACTTACAGATGAAATTTTGATTAAGGACTCTGATAGTGTAAAGGCAGGGAGTGGGGTGAGGTGGGATGGGACTGGGGGAGGGGTGGAACACTGTCCTTAGAGACCATTGTGAAAGCATTCAGAACTCGTCCAACTTAGATTTTAAAAATGCATAAAGATGGAAGCAAGAGCAGATAACTGACGATGAATACAAGAGTGGTGTGGTCATGTGAGAACAGTGCCAAGAGGATTAAGATGCTGAATGTGGAAATGAATGCTAAGTCAGATACAAAGAGCCAAAGCTCAGTGGAAGGCAAGAGGAACATCAAAGAAGGGACAGGACTGTTGCTGGTGGGAGGGGGTTGAGGGAGGAAGGTTTGGAACGGTTTGGACCCCCAAGGAGGGATGTGAAGATGAAGAACTTTCAGTGGTTGCTCTTTTTAAAGTGGTAGCTTGACTTTTTAAAATTATACTGCTGCTGGTACAACATTGAACATGAAAAGTAGAGGTAACTATAGCAGGGGAATTCTAGCAAGAGGACCACTAAAAGGGTACATAAAGCATAAGGCAGTGACTCTGCTATGTGGATATATGTTCTGATGATGATTCCCACTTAGAATGGCCAGAAATGCCCAGTATAGTTCACCCAATGGGTATAGGAAAGATGGATAGCAAAGATAGAAGGAGGGTCCTGTGTGACCTCTGGAAAGTCGAATTGTTCTGTTAGTATACAGCAGCAACTTGGTCTTGCCAAAGACACCGAGCCCAAAGGGACTTTAGAGGTCATTTAGTCCAACCCCCTCATTTTACTGATGAGGAAACTGAGCCACCCAAAAACTCAAATGATTTGCCAAAGGTTACATAGATGGTCAGTAGTAGAGTCAAGTTTTGAGCCCACGGTTTTTGATGCTAAATCCATTACAATTCACACATCATCAAGATGGGACAAAACATTTTTTATACAGCTTTTTAAACGTTTTGGTCTTTCTATTACCCAGTAACTATAGACTTCTCTGGGAAGTAAGTAGAAGAAGACTGGAGTTACTGGAGGACTAACAAGCACTGAACTTGTATTTTGCTTTTATTTTCTCTACCAAAGAGAACGATCTTTGATCTGGTGAAAACTTAACAAAGAATAACAGAGTTGAAACCCAAGAACATGAGGGAATGGAAAGAGCACCTCGATGCCCTCAAATAAGTTCAAGTCTACATACATCACAGGGCAATGAAATACCTGACAAAATATGACTATAAAGGGACAATTATCCCAATTTTGGCAGTATTGCTGGACCAGTTGATCAGGAGAATACCAGAGATAAAGCTTGCGTATATTTTAGCAAAACATTTGACAAAGTTGTCTATGCTGTTCATATGGGGAAAATGGCAAGAATGGGTTACATATAATTAAGTGGGAAAGGAAGGGAAAATAAAAGCTTGTTTATTAAAACACCCACTATGTGCCAGGCACTGGTAATTTATAAATGTTATTGAATTTTATTTAGGTAGATTTAGAATTAGTTGAATGCCTAGAGCTAAAGAATAGTTATTAATGGGTCTATATTATTGGAAGGAGGTCTCCTAGAAGGCCTAAAGATCTGTCCTTGGTCCTGTGCTGTTTAATATTTTTATCAATGACTTGGACTTAAAGGCATAACTGGCCTTTCTGCAAAATTTGCAAAATCAAATTTGCAGATGTCACAAAGCATGGATGAATAGTTAAAACTTTGGTTGGCAAAATCAGGTCCAAAAAGATCTTGACAAAATGTAGGAAGGAATTGTGGTACTGTGGGGATAAGACCTGGGTTCCAATCCTGCCTCTGATGCTTGTTACCATGGGCAGGTCACAACCTCCATGGGCCTCAGTTTATTTAATCTGTAAAATGAGGCCAGTTGGACAAAATAGCCCCCAAACTTTTTTCTAGTCCTAGCTTATTGGGTTGAGTCTAATAAGATTAAAATTTATTAGGGATACACAAAATCTAATGCGGGTTAAAAAAACAATTTCACAAGTACAAAGTAGAAGAAATGCGTGGAGTTAGTAATCGGTTCCTGGGGAGTTTAGAGTACTGCAAGCTTGGTATGACTCAACAATATGATAGAGCAGGAAAAAAGCTAATGCTTGAAGAGAGATATGGGTTCAAGGACTAGAAAGGTGGCTGACTGTCTTTTCTCTTGATAGACTACACCTGAAGTATTTTGTTGATAAACTCAAGAGCATCTAGAGGCCGGTAACCAAGATGGGGAAGAGGTTATGCCATAGGAGGACTGGTCGAATGAATGTGTGTGTGTATGTGGGGAGGGGGATGGCGTTTAGGCTAGAGAAGATATAGCTTGGGGGGAACAGGAGAGCTGGCTTTAGATGTTTGAAAGACCCTCCCACGGAAAAGGATTTAAACTCTTTCTTCATGACGTCAAATGGCAGAACTAGGAGTAATGGCTACAGGTTATGGAGAAGTAGATTTTGGCTCATTATCTCAACAAAAAACGTCTCAGCAACTAGAGAAAGGAACAGGACCTATAATTTCATTGTTATAGAGAACTCTAGGAGTTAGTTAATACAGGTCAACACCTTCTCTGGAACTTCCAGTCATGGACAGTTGACCAGGCCACTGAGAGGTTAAGTGACTGGCCTAAGATCACAGAGTCAGTGTGTGTTGGGGACAGGACTTAAACCCAGGTCTTCCTGACTCCCAAGCAAACTCTTTGTCCACTGCACCATGCTACCTTCCTAGTCTTAATAATGAGGATTAGGTAACAGTGAAATCAGTTGCCTTTGGGAAGTAAAGTTCCCTTTCATTGGATACCTTCCAGCAAGGCTGAATAACCATGTATTAGATAAGTTGTAGAAAGGATTCTCATTCAGATCTGGACTGAATGAGCTGTCCTTGATGACCCTTCCAGCTGAGTCTGACATGCTGTGTGCCCCTCTCTAGAAGGCATAGGGTGGGGAAGGAAATCCTACTAATTAGAACTAACCCAAAAGAGTGGGAATGGTAATAGGTCTGACTAGAGAACCACTGAATGCCCTTCCAGCTCAGAGAATCTTCTTGGACATTTCTGTATGTTACCTGTAAAATGCGTTGCAACAATGAAACTTACAAGTTTACAAAGGACACTTAATTTCTTCCAAGCAGCAAAATGCCCCCTGAAAGGCAGGATAAACTTGCAGATCCTAGGCTGTCTTCGTGGCAGGAAAGAGCATAAAAACTTCATCATGGGGAAGCATAAAGTGAGAAAAAAAAGTACCTAAAATATGCTTGAAAAACAATAGATTCTGTTTGGCCTAAGAATGCAATGTTGGTGTCATTGTTGATTATTTCGTGAAGACATCCCAATGGGTATTTAGTCACACATTAAGTGAGTCTTGTTTTTTCCAAAACAGTGACCTT